TTCAATCCCAAAGGGTCCAAGTACCATTATAGTAGGTACTTAGTAGGTATTTGGACCCCAAAAGTACATACTATACTAGTACTTGGACCCTGTGGGAATGACATGTACACGTACTTGGGCATTCAAGTAGGACGCCCAACTTCTCGCATAGAAGCCCTGAGCGTTTAGTCGCAAAGCCCACAATCTACCCATAGGCCCTAAAGTAGTTCCTTTTTTGGGGGTTCATATATAGAATTCTATAAGGTAGCACAAAAAAGGAACTACTAGGGGGCCTATGGGTAAACCCCAAACCCCTGGGCCCTAAATCCCTACGCCCCAAACCCACAAACGGCAAACCTTGCGAGTCTATCTCGACGAACATTGTCTCGGAACCTTGACATCAGTCTACGACCGGGCGCACCTGTAAGTCTATTTTTGCAGGCTTTTTTTCCCGCGAGGCTCAAAATAGCACAAAACCTTATGTAGGATGGTCCTTGGGCCCTAAACCCTAACTCTAAATGGGAATCCGCAGAGCCCGAGGGTTTCGTCTGCAGGACATTCGAAACTGTTTGTTTTCCGGGCGTCTCGGGCTTAAAGTCTACCTTGAGCTATACCAAAACGTACATTTTTGTAGAGCTCCTTTAGGTTCTATGCTAGAGATTTTCATGGGCACCTACAACAAGCAAGCTTTTGTAGGTCAAAGTAGAGTTTAGGGTTTGGGTTGAGTCTTGAGCCCACAACCCCAATCTGTGCAAGGAGCTGTGGGGTCCAATCAACCATCTTATCTAATCTAAAGCCTAAACCTGTATATAAAAACGCAAAATTTCTAACTAACCCCCAAGTCCTAACTGCAAAAGCCCTCAACAAACCCGAAAGAAACCTCAAGCACCAAACCCCTAATTCCAAAACACCCTAAACCCCTAAACCCTGAACTCTAAACCCTATAAACCCGACAAACCCTGAACCCTGAACCCTATAAACCCAGGTTTGGGCGCACTCACTCCGATCCGACAGGGTCTCGTCATACTTCTGACCAGCGAAGCGCAGATAAGGCTGATTCCTCGCTTCTTGCTATTGAAGTTTAGGGTTTAAGGCTGATTCCTCGCTTCTTGCTATTGGATTTCTTAAGGTTTCTGGTGTGTGGGTTCAGTTATATTTTGTTGAGGGCCTTTTGGGCGCCTGCATGTCTCAGCATTCACAACCCTATTAAGTAGGCAAGTTGCAGCATTTTGTGTGGGTTCCGGGTTTAGGGTTTTTGTCTGAAACTTAACCCTAAGGGTCCAAAGAACCCAATTACTACGCTGTCGGGTTTGGGATAGAAGTTCTTTGGGTTACTCTTATAGAAAATACATGATAATCAGGTACTTGTACCCCCAGAGTAATTGGATGCAGGTTAAGTGGCACTTGCTCAGTTTCCCTAAGGTTCCTTGGAGCCAAATAGCAGCGCTTTAGGTCCCAAAATCCATACTCTGAATTGCTTCCCTCCCTACGCCCTAAACCCTGCTATTTGGGTGCTTGGTCCCGTAGGGTTTCGGCTCTTTAGGGTTTAGGGTTTTGGGTTTAGGGTTTAGGGTTTAGGGTTTAGGGTTTAGGGTCTACCTCGATTAAAATTAAGACAAAAGGCGTTTGATTGGGTACTGTCACTGGAAATACCATCGAGCCTGCACCAAGTTGACTCTTGTTTGCAGTTTGGTGGTTGGGGTTGGTGGTAAGAGCTGGAGTTGAGAGTTGAGGTAGGGGGGGTCTAGATCGTCTCTGAGCGCGGGCAGGATGCCAGAATGCCAAAACTCTGCAAGAGCAGCCATCAGATTGAAGGACACCTTCGGTTTTGTCGATAACTGGATGAGATGGACTGCTTCATCCGGATCAAAAGCGGTGTGGACGAGATGCCCAGCCCTCCCGATGCTCTGACTCCTGAGCTGTTTGCTCGATTTGCAGAGACCTCGAATCGATCTGCAGACACCTCGAAACCCACGGCGCCAGTGAATGCAAATGAACACGAGAGGCCAGAAGCCCCTAAACCCTTTAGGCTTTAGGGTTTAGGGGTTTGGGGTTTAGGGTTGAGGGGTTTAGGGTTTAGGGTTTACCCTAGTACGAGTACCCTCATTCCAATGTGGGCCTCAACCCCTATCAGCTTCGCAAGCAATCGCTTTCGAAATCGATCTTCGCTTCGGGACAGAACTTCCATATTAGGGTGTGTAGTGCGAACCTACAACAAACAGGTCATAGTAGTTCAAGGTATTTATCACCACCCACAGGGTCCAAGTACTAGTATAGTATATATTTTTGGGGGCCCAAATACCTACTAAGTACCTACTATAATGGTACTTGAACCCTTTGGGCCAGGCTTTCACACCTTACGTCAGATGCTGGAAGTTGCGATCCGGTTTGGGCTTGATGGCCGACACCGCACCCTGGAACAAAAAGCAGGTGACTCGTACATTCCTCGTGGACACCTAGGCCTCAGGCTATACTGGAGGGCAGCTGGAGCATAGCCTACCTAAGCCCCAAACCCTCAACTCTAAAGCCTAGGCCCGAAATTCCGAAACTTCAAAACCCGACACCCTCAAACGCAAACTATAAGGTTCAGGATAGTATTTTAACGGTTCGATCTGGCTCACTGGTCTGTAATCCCTACCTGGGCATCCAAAATCGTATCGTTTAGGGTTAGACCCTAAAATCAAGGGGTCATAATGGTCATAACCTCCTATTTCGTAGAGTTCGGGGATACAGGTAAACCCTAAACCCCAAACCCTGGACCCGAAACCCTAAACCCCAAACCTAAAACCTGCAGTATGGGGGCCTCTCTTAGATTTAGTGCTTTAGAGTTCCAGAGTTTTAGGGCATAGGGGGAGTTGATGCTCTTTAACCAACAGAGTTATCTTCCTATGCTTGCTAGCGCTGCCCTTGCGGTCACCTACGAACATGTACGAGCTATGCCGATTCCCTCCGTGACATTCATGAGCCCTACGGGGCTCCCAAATATGATGGCTTCTGGGCCTACATAATATAATATTCCCTCCATACATAAATAAATATTTATATATATATATATACACATACATATATTTGCTACCCCCCCCCCCCTCCAAAACCCACCTCAGAAGCCAAACCGGTAATAATTGCGCCTCCGGAAATCGTGTCCCCGTCAAAAGGTTGTGCACATGTTGTTCGCGATCGATGCTAGGCAGAGCAGGCCACCCCGTCTGCATGTTTCACCCGCCCAAGGCTACAGCATGGCATAGAAGTCTTCGTACTTGGAAATCTTTTCTTATAGCCTCTATATTCTGTTAAAACACTTTATACGAACATCACGAAAGCTGACAGAAACACACAAAATAAGCCTGCTGCAATCAAGGCCCAAAATTTTCTTCAGCGTCCCCGTAAGCTGGAAGCTTACCAGGGTTCTCAACATCCTTCGAAGGAGGTCTGAATATTTGGTGACAACAGATTCCCTCCCTGATAGCTCCTAAACACCATATGTCACGAATCACATGTTAAGTATTTGGACGATGCACCGATAACCTCACAGATCTCTGTGAAGGAACCATATTCGAGTTTCCAGGGCCCGAAATTCGTTTCCTTATTTTATAAAGTTCGTTTGGACGCCGACTCTGGCGAACATATATATATATATAATATGAGGATCTAAAAATAATAGTGATAGAAATTATAATATACTAGTACGGATAATAACAAGATCTGGGTATAAGATAACATCATAAGTATATTGCGATACTGTCGCCATTTATTTGTCCGACACCTACATTACTTTCCACTTCCAGGCTTTGTATGTCATAGGTGCCCAGCGAGCGCCCCCTCAACCATAAGCCTTACGATGGTAACCCTCTCCCTCAAATGTTGGCCAGTTCACAAGAATAGCCCTAAATCGGAAATTGACCGCTGCTACCCTGGAAAGCTTAAACTGAACGCTTTCAATGTACACCGAGAACCATAGCTAAACAATCTAGGGCCTCAGTCATTAAGCAACTGTTTCCCTAGGACCTCAACCTAAAGCTCTGCCCATAAACTGGGAGCTTAAGGAAGAGACCTCCTGGCACCGTAACAAAGGCCGCTACCAGTAGGCACTACATCCCAGGCCCGGGTCCGTGTTAATTAAGGTTTAGGGTTTAGGGTTTAGGGTTTAGCCGTGTTAATTAACACGGTCCCCTGGAACCAAGAATCAAGATTCCCAGAAAAGTTTTCGGACAGCATCTTGGTTCCCGCACGTGGGCCTGGGCCACCAGTTTTCCGGCAGTCTTGGTTCGTGGTTCCGGGGCCCCCGTGTTAACTAACACGGGCCTGAGCCCATTTGCCAGAACCAAGACGCTGCCCGAAAACTTTACTGGGAATCTTGGTTCTTGGTTCCAGGGGCCGGTGTTAATCAACACGGCCCCGGGCCCAAGTGCCGGAACCAAGATGCTGTCCGAAATTTTGTCTGGGAATCTTGGTTCTTGGTTCCAGGGGACCGTGTTGATTAGCACGGGCCCGATTGCGGAAACCAATCTTCAAGCAGTCTGTCTATGGCAAAACCACGTGCAGATGTATACATGTATATGAACATCCTCATATGGGCGGACGTTGACCTTACGCCGATTATATATATATGTATATGTATATGTATATATATATATATATATGCATACGTGTATGTGTGTGTATATATATATATATATTGCATATATGTGTGTCCAGGTGGGTTTTGGAGGGGGTGCCATACATACATACATATATATATATATATATACATATTGATATTTATATATATATATATACATATACATATATATATATATAATGTTTATACATGTAGACACACACACACACACATCTCCTAGCCCAAGGTCGACGCTGCTGGTCTCGAGGCACCGCGCAGCGTCCAAGGATCAGATCTCTGCCGCAACCATGAAAGTCTATCTGACCGAATTGCAGAGACATTTTGGCTGGTCAATGCTCTCATGTCTCCAGCAAGGGCTGGAGGCTTCCAATGCCTCGAAGAAAGGAGGATGCAGAATCCATGCCGTCGCCAACCTTGGTCTGCTCAGGCGAATTCTTCCCGCCCTTCGTCTGCGAGTCTAGGCATATCAGAAGGAACCACTGCCATCCCATGTAGGCGCAGCCCTCAAAACCACCTTCAGCGGTGGAAGGTCTCAGGATAGCGCAATATTGGGGAGACGCACAGGAGGATGCTGCTTGAAGTGCTGGAGAGACCACTGTGCTGATGGAGACGGATTCTCGGCACCTTCGGCACTGTGTAAGGACGGTGGCGAGGAATGCAAAGCATGCAAGGCATGCGAATCAAGGCTCTCGCTGCTCCATGCCCGCATCGCCTGGAGGCACCAAGAAGCCCAGAGAGCTTTACAGACTTGCTTTGGCAGCTTAGGCCGCCGGCCTGGCCACTCAAAGCGCCGACTTTCCGGTGGAGGGTCCGAGCTTCCAGCAGCCATCCGCAGAGCCTCTGGCGAGGCGGAGCAGGCGGAGCACGCGACAGCCGGGCAGCCCGACTCCGGCTTTGCTTAGGCCGAAGCTCGTAGAGCCCTGGCCAGCTCAGCTCGGCCTCACTGTGACAAAGAGAGGAACAGAAAGGATCTTGATCTTCTTAGTTCTTCTTGCTTCTCAGACTCGCGCAAAGAACTTTGGATGCCAAGGCGGTGTGCCTGAAGATCTCGCGATCTTAACGGGGCATTGAAGTGAGCAAGCACAGTCTATGTTGAAGCGACCTGGTCTGTCGTCATCATCAGGCTGACCCCTGCAAGTTGAACGTGGCAAGGCATGATCGTCGCACGTGCACTCTCTTGGCCTGGAGGAAACGACCGCGCCCAAGGCAACTCCCACCGGCAAGCCTCGTGAAGGCAAGCTCTGCTCCAGGCACGTGCCACAGCAGTCCGAGCGACACACTGAAGTTGAGATACTTTGCTTGGGCACGTGGACCAAACACTACTTCCGCACGCCTCTGCGAGGCATAGATCTGGCATGATCTGGCATGGCTATGCACATCTCTTTGAGTCGACACACGGACTCGGCTTGCAGCTGCTCCCACTCGTTCTCAGCTTTGGAGACACTTTGCGGCTGGGCGGCCTGGAATTGCTCGACATGCTTGTCAGGAACCCAAACTGTTTAACGAAGGACGCCTTCAGGGAGCTTTCGAAATGCAGATCCAAACCAGTACCATCCGCCTGCCTCAGAAAGCTTGTCTGCAACACTGTCCACACCCGCGTCAGGCCGGTCCCCCGCTCAGGAGAGGGGGCTTCCTCATCTGGTAGCAGAGCTTTTGACCTCGAACGTTCTGACACTAGATAAACACGGTGCGAGTGAGATCATCTCTTAGCTTGAGGCCATCTCAAAGACGCCGAGTTGCCTGGCTTCCGGCCATACAGCAAGAAAGCGCTCATGAAGAAGCTGAGGTGGCCACCACTGCTGGCGACTGTCGCTGAGAGGCTCGGCTGCCATCCTCGAAGCTTTGCTCCCAGACCGGGTAAGCCTCAGTCACAGTCGTCGGCAATGTTCTTTTGGTTTGCCCCGGCTCGACGAGGTCCCCACGCTTCTTGTATTGAAGTTGCCAGCTGTCCAGCCTTTGACTCTGGGGAAATGTAGAAATGGTGGCTGCAGCTGGTACAAAGCAGCCGAGGCAAGTGCACAGCTTCCTGTCCTCGGGATGCCAACTGAAAAGTCTACAGCAACCTCACTCACCCTGCTACTACATCTCCTGCAGCAAGCCTCGCAGCAAGCCTCGCATGCTTAACTGTATGTGTGTATATGTATATTATATATTATATTATAGTATATTATATTATAGTAAATTATATTATAGTATATTATATTCTATTCTATTCTATTCTATTCTATTCTATTCTATTATTTTATATTATATTATTTTATATTATACTATATTATATTATATTATATTTTATTATATTATATTATATTATATTATATTTTATTATATTTTATTATATTATATTATATCATGTTATATTATACTATATTATACTATATTATATAAAGATATATATATATATATATGCTAGTTTCCGGTGCCGGTCCTCTTGTCTGTGAACAAATCGAACCAAGAAGCCTGCCGACTTCATACTGACATAGAGACAAATCAAGCCAAGTGGCCCGCCACCGCCCCTGCAGCAGAACAGTGAATCTCCCCGGTTCGGGGAGATCCTGCCTGGCAGTGCTGGGCGCAACGACGGGGCGCACCAACCACGACGAGGAACGAGGACCAGGACCATGACAAGCAGGACGCAACAGAGCCCTCTGGAAGAATCTTGATTGCAACTGTGGAGCTCCAGCATGAACTTGGTACTCCAGAGGCAGAGCACGCGGTAAGTCCTGATGCTTATATTATATTATATTATATTATATTATATTATATTATATTATCTTATCTTATCTTATATTATATTATATTATATTATATTATATTATGGCAGGGCAATTCTCTGCAGCATCAGCTCTTTCTGTTGCTCCTCTCGCGGGAAAACGTCGGCGTCTGCATCATCGTCCTGGCCGACTAAGCCGGTCCAGACCCAGCCCAGCTGTTTGGCAAGTCCACAACGACAGTACCAAAGAAAGCTCCCGAAACACTTCCATCAGAGTCGTGGCATTCAAAGGCTGCCTCTCAGGACCTGAGGCCAGAGCAATACGCGAGCTGCTCGTCTAAATCAGGTGACTAGGCTCACCGCCGAGGGCGCCAACAAAGGCTGCCTGCTCCAGTCCCGAGCGGCGCAGGTAACAACGGACAACAAGAGTAGGGCGCACCGTGGGTCGTCTGCCTGTCCACTCAGCAGTCGGGAAGCAATCGAGCTGGACAGCCATGTTTAGCTCAGCGGCGCATCGCTTGCTGCAGGTTCCTGGAGAGTACTGCAACCATAGCCCCAACCTGTCGGGTGCAGAATGAAGGTCAAGTAGAACTGTCGCAGGGCGCAAAACTGAACCTGAGCTCCAAACAGCTAGCGCCTTGGCATATCTGGGAGCCCTGCGAGAGACATGGGCTCAGCTGACGGCAAAGAAACGGATTCGAAAAATCTGTCCGCACGCAGATGGCACTAGCAGTGGCAAACGGACAGCAAGCGAATGAAATGCCAACTGCAGCTATCCGGAATCTTTCCAGACGATATGCCAGGGCAGCAGTCGCAGATGCCAGCAGTCACTTTAGGATACTGCTGCACATTCCTGGACCCTGAGAGGAAGATTGGGTGTCTCTCCTGCCGCTGCCGGAGCTTTACTACTGTACAATCCCTTGCTGCTACTCCACGGTGACCGAGCACGTGGGAAAACTTGCTGGCTCCGTTCAGTGCAGCCAACATTGATGCCCAGTGGTTCTGCTATCAGAGAGTCATTCTTGCACTTTGAGCGCACCATCTGCAAGTATCTGCAACTCATAGCAGCTATCCAAACTTGAACAAACAGAAGCATCTTCCCGCAACCTCACCCAGACAAGGAGTAAAACAAAACTTGACAGCCCATGCACCAGAATCACACCATTGTAAGCAATTAGAGCTAGCCTCGATAAGAGCCTCACATCCTCGAGAGTGACAAGCTGTGACAAGCTCATCGCTTCCCAGAGAAAGGGATGCCGAAGCGCGAAGAATCCATAACGGAGTTACTTTTTGAATTCGACCTCCAAATAAGGAGCCGTATGCCATGCATATGTCACCCCTCTGGGAGAGCCACGCTCTCAGCTTGTAGCCAGGCTCCAAGCAAATTAAAGTCCAAATTTCATCCTGTTAAGTGCCAGGTAGCATCAACCTCGATGTGAGATCCTTCCAGCTCCGGCAAGTCACCCGGAAGCATCTTCTCGGAATGGATCACAGTTGACGTGATGGGTGTCAACAGATGATCTCGCCAAAAATACATACAAGCGAAGAACTCTGATTTCCACGAAGGAAGGGCTTCTTTAGGAATGAGGCCCGTCTCCTCGATCTTTGCCGACTGTGGGTCTTGTCGCAAAAAGAAAAGGCCGCCCTCTTCAGTGACTTGAACCCAGGCACGCAGAGCTGACACTGTTCCCTCAACCGGTGGGAGGACTGTCGCAGACATCACACATCTTTCGCCGCCGTACTGCATGTAGCAAAGCCCCGCAAAAGGAGCAAACATCACCGACATGCTGCGGTCATCTGCGGGGTTGGAGCAGATCTCCACCTTGCGAGCAAGAGATGGAAAACGAACCGACGCCACGCCAGCTAGGTGAAGTGCGTGCACACAAACGCAAACATACGCACATGACGCTGATGATTTTGATCGCCCTGACAGATGGGCAAAACATTCTCATCTAGAAACCGCTAGTCGTAGCAGTATGAACGACAACACCGCTTCTTTTCTCGGCATTTCGAGATATGAAGCAATGCTAGGCTGCTAGGCTTTAACACATGAACGCTTACAATGGAATTTCGGAATGCGCAGAATTCCAATGCGCCCGAGGTGCCCCAAGGCAGAAGCCGGAGCTCACATCCTCGGCCTTCAAGCTCTCGTCGTTGGCAGCCTTCAGCTCCATGCCCGCCGCAAGTGGCTGTCCAAGCCTGGTGCCTGTGGCCAAAGGCACCGCAGCCTGCAAGACAGCTCTTCCTCACCCGTTGTTACGAAGGTTTTACAAGTTAGCAGCTTGCTATCATCGGCTTAGCACTTTGGCAGCTGCCTCCACCGGAACCAGAGCGTCTCGCTGGGCGTGGCTGTCCGTATCTTCCGCCTGCGTGCATGGCAGCACCTGCAGCACATGATGTCTTGCGGTCTGTTGCAGACTCCAATACAAGCAGAGGAACCGGAGGGAGGGAGGAAGGCGGAGCTAAATGAAGGATGGGGAAACGGAGGAAGATGGGGCAAATGGCACAGAGCGCGATTGCAGCTGAACCCAGTCCTGTCCCCCTGCGCGGCCTTCAGGATGCTGAAAGATGTCTCTTGAATTGCAGGGCACCAAGACTTCGGAGGAAAGACAGCTTGTCTCAGAAGCCGCAATTCTCGCAGAAAGGCTTTGCCCTGCACACCGGAATCCAACAGCTGTTGGATGACGGAATTCCCCGAAGGACCCCATATGGGAATATGTGCAAGATGGGCCATTGCGGCTTTGCGCCATAAGAATCTTGTGACATCCTTGGAACAAATCCCAGCTTCTTCGGAGCTGGCGATCTCGGAACTACGCAGGAAGCTGGACAGGTGGATGCAAATGTTCCCCAGGTCGGCAATGCTCAAAGACACCTGCGCCATGTGACTTCCCCTTCGACGGGCTCAAGCTACCTGCACATTCGAAGCCCTCACTGGAGCCGAAGCATTCGGAGAGTTCGGTGCATCACAGACTCACAAACCATCGCACCAGCCGCGACACTACGCTGAATGCAAAGGCCGCCTCCTCCCAAGGCGCATTGTGGCCTGCCGATATTAAGTGGCAACTGATCTCCAATGTCCCGGCATGAATCCGCGAAGACCGACGGGGCCAGGCCTCGGATCGAACCTGAGGACTCGACTGCGTGGAGCTTTCGGACCGTTCCGGGACCGCTGTGAGCCAGAAGCACCGCGGTTTTCTTATCTCGTTCCCCATGGGAGTGGGAGTGGGAGTAGGAGTGGATTGGGAGTAGGAGCAGCAGTAGCAGTAACAGTAGCAGTAGCAAAAGCAGTAGCAGTAGCAGTAGCAGTAGAACTAGCCGTAGCAGTAGCAGTAGCAGTAGCAGTAGCAGTAGCAGTAGCAGTAGCAGTAGCAGTAGCAGTAGTAGTAGTAGTACTAGTAGTCTACTACTACTACTACTACTACTACTACTACTACTACTACTGCTACTGCTACTACTACTACTACTACTACTACTACTAGTACTAGTACTAGTACAAGTACAAGTACGAGTACTACCACCACTTCTACTTCTACTTGTACTACTTCTACTACCACCACCACTGCGCAGTAGTAGTTCGAGTACTCATCGAAGTCGCAGGGATCGTAGTCGCAGCACCGGCTGTGACCTTCTAGCACCAGCCATGCAGACTTTCTCTTCTCTATGTCGTTCGGGTCCAACCCTCAGAAGCAAAACATCATGCCCCAGTACAAGTATGAACATTATCTACTATCTTACGCATCGCATACAATCTCGCTTCCTCTGTGGGCTCTGTCTCGTTCCCAAGTAACGGAAGCAAAATCCGCAATAGCATGTCCTCCATATAAAGTCTCAACACACCAAGACTACATAAAATCGGCCAAGACGAAGTCAGATCCGACACGAAAGCGCGCAACTGTTCGGAGTTTGAAGCGCTTTTTCCGCGGGCTGCTTCAAGCCTCCGCCTCCGCTGCCTCAGTCCTCCATCTCTTGGTCTTCGTCCTCCATGGCGAGCTGCTGCCTTACGAATGTCCAGATCCGCATCGAAGAAATCCCGCCAGAACGTTTTTGCGTGTGGCCCCTGCCCGCGTTTCTCGTAGATGTTGTAGTTCATTACCTCTCAGCCAATGCAAAGCAGCTAAATGTCACTACAAATGCCACTTCCGTGCCTTCTCGATGAGGTCTACGTGTGTCAACATCATTCGACGACAGCAGTACCTCCAAAGACCAACGCAAATGCTGCAACGAGTCTCTGCTGCCGGCTTGTCGCAGCAAGACCATGGAAGAAGGCTGATTCAAGCAGCTCGCCTGTTGAAGCCAAGCTCATCCAAGACCTGTCGTCTGTGGAACTCGCGAACGAAAACATCTCAACATTCCAAAAGGGCCTCTTTCTCTGGGGCTGGCTTTGGCCGCGATCTATTCTCGGGGTCATCCCTGTCTTGCTTCTCTTGCTCTTCTGACTTCCGCTGTAGAAGTTGCAGATATTTCTCCCACCTGCTCACCACACTGCAGCTGTAAGCTGCGGCATGTACCGCTGAGGGGACACCAGTTCAAAGACTTGAGGCATTGACTTGTTGCCGATGAGCTTGCCACATGAGTAGCAGCCTGCAAAACGGCAACAGTAGAACACCCTTCAGATGGACCTCTGATTTTTGCACATGCAACTGCTGGCTCGCAAACACTGAGGGCACGACGAATCGGAATAATCATGTGTGCCTGCGGTGCTGCCTAGCACAGCTGTACAGGGCTGCGCGCCCTACTTACAGCATGTCGACGCTGAGCCAAAACGCGCAGCGATGACACAGCCTGCAAACTCTCGCTTGCCCTGGAGAAAAAGACTCATCGGCCGTTGAAGGGTGTGTGTGTGTGGGCCCTTCTAGATGATACATTAGAAAACAGATGCCATCCCCGCATTTTTGCTCGGACGTTTGGGTGTTCGGGTTCGTGGCTATGTCGGCTATGTGCAGGGCTACAGCATGCAGTGCTACAGGATGCTACAGGTCTTGGGAGCTGAGGCTTAGGAATTGAAGCTTTACGGTTGAAGAATGTTAAACCCGAACCCTGAAAGGTCAGCACTGTTCGCCATTGACTGGGTGGGAGCAAAGGCGTGGAGTGCTAGAGTGATTTATTGGATTCTGTGCTGTGGTGAGACAGCAGTCTGAAAAGTGCACGGCAAGAACTCATCTTGGCAGCCTTTACTATAGCCTGGTGCCTGCAGCGCGAACAAATCTTTCTGCACGTGCCGACCTGACTTCCACTGAGGCATGCAACTTTGGCAACCTCTCAGCGTGGCATGTCATGCCTGGCACGGAGTGTTGGTTCCGCAACACAACGATCTTTTGCCTTGTGTCTTTGGGCCGCTTGAGGCCTCTACAGATGAGCATTACCATCGTCGGTACTCGCATGGGCAAGTGTTTGTAGGTACTGCCAGTGACTTTGCCGAGAGGCGGATTCCTTCTTTGTACACATTCAGACAGTATTGATGTATTGATTCACTTTGCTCCCGGAGGTCTCGTGCCTCTGAAGATATGCCCAGTCACCATCCCCTTCCACCCTTCATCCTTGGGACGAAAGAAACCCGGCAGGGCAATCATCCCAATCCCGGCTCCTTCGGCAGACCCCAAGTTAAAAGGCCAAAGTGGAGTCCGAAGCGCCAGTAACCACTTCGAAGCTCTCGAAGTGCACGAAACAAGTAGTTGACATCACGATGTCTGGCAACATCTACATGTCTGTTCCAACCTCAGGAAGTTACTCACACTTGCTCAAGCACTAGGCCGCCTAGGCCCCCCATGGCCTCCTTCGCAGCAGACTTGTCTTTCTTTTTCTCCTTCTTTTTCTTCTTCTTTTCCTTGCGGCACATGCAACCCGCATCTGAGCCAGCATTGAACAAAATTTGAGGTGCTTGCTTTCTTGTCTTTCTTCTTCTCCTTTTTCTTCTTCTTCTTTTTCTTCTTGTCGCTGGACGAGGAACTGGACGAGGAGTCTTCCCCCGCAGCTTTCCTGCTTGTTGAATGACAAGCTGCTCATGGATGCTCTGTAGACGACGAAGCGATCCTCTTGAAGTATTCTTGGAGAGCTTTTTTCACGGTTGCGGCATCATGTCCTGATCACAACTGGCATCAGAAAAGCCAAAAACAGCACAGCAAATTGAATTCGCGAATGACTGTGAAAGCTTGCAGGCCGCCGAACTAACGAAATCTGCATGTGGCTGTCCGCCAGCAGCATCTTCCAATCCTCTGCCGCCCGCCTGAACGAGCAGACATAAGCCACGTCAAACGACATGAACCCGCGTGAACCTGCAGGAATTTTATCCCTGCGCATCGAACAGTCTGCCCCACCTTTCCGGAAGCCTCCGGTGCCTCCTTTCAGAGGTATCGATCCGGCTCACTTTAATCAGCATTCGGGGCTCAGAACTGCATCAAGGGCAGGTCCTCGACCAAGTCGTACTGCTTGCCTCCTCCAGCCCAGCACCTCGGCTTCTTGCTCCCTGTCTTGGACCTTCTGCTTGCATCTGAGGTCCGGGCTCTCTGGCTGAATGCCCACGTGCCTCGGTAATCCTATCTCTGATTAGCTTAGCAATCTCAGTGTTGGAATCTGCGAACCCGACGCCACAACGCGAACATGTTGTGGCCTTCAGAAGTCAGCAACGAACTGTGGAGACCTGAGAGCCAGCGCCTGGCCTGGATCGCACCGATGCGAATGGGCTCCGGAGCAGACTTGCCCTGGCCCTTGCCTTTTCCAGCATCCGCCTGCCGCAGGCGCTGCGGGTCGGCGCTGCGGGTCGGCGCTTCGGTGCAAGGGGCCACAAGGCGCCTGCACGTTGTTGGGATCCTGGTCTTCACCATCTCTCTGGCCAACAAAGCGCATGTCGAGACCTGTGGGAAGCACTTGTGCCTGTTCATGCCTGTGCATGTCCGCGCACACAAGCTTGGGGCCGCAGCTGAACTTTCCCTCCTCCTCCCTCACTTCCACAACCTGGGGATAGACAACACTTCGAGCTTACAGCTGCTACGAGGCACGGCGAAATCTGAGCGAGTCTGCCTTCACCCAAACTGTGTCATCCTGTGCCAACACATCCTGATGTGTAGCACCGTGACAGAATTCGAAGAGCGCATGACGAATTCAAGGCTGTCACTGCCACTGCTTCGACTCGGCCGGAAGCCGAGAGTCGCGAAATATGTAGCAGGCCATCCTGTAGCGCTGTGGCTTTGACAGGAGGGGCCAGGGCCGAGGAGGGTTGGGGGGCCACGGTGTGAGGGACATGCAAGCAGCATCTCTGCACTGTTCAGCTCTTTGGGAACGGATCAGAGGGCATGCCGGGCATGGTCCAGGATCAGATCAGCAACTTCTGTGACGAGCTGTGCATTCAAAACTCCGCTCCTCCAAGCCTCAAGGCCAAGGGCCAAAGACTCCAAAGGGGTACTTTCCAGCTGGTAGCAAGGTTAACTAAAGTTCTGGGCACCGGCTTGAAATTCTGGAACGACCGGTAAGCGAGAATGCGCCACACTCTGGACACTTCAACTCCTCCAACATATATACACGCGGAGCAAGGATTAGTAGGACCTTGTTGGGGTGCTGCGTTGTGTGGCTCATTCACCACATGCTCTTAATTAGCTTTCTCAGGCCATGATATGCGGCGACTGAGAGTGGAAGACAACGGGCAGGGCCCGTGGCATGCATCTTGACGGCAGCTGCTGACTCTGTACCTGGCCCCCACGTCTGGTCAAGGTCCATCCCGGACAGCCGAGGCAGCCATGATGATGTCCTAAACGGCCGAGGTGTAATCATCGGCTGGGTCCAGCAGAAGCGCCAGCGACCTCTCGGCCACTTCAAGCCGCTTCTTCAACGTGAGGTTCTCCTTCCGAAGTTGAAGGCTCTCTTCCTGTGATTTGTGTTGAAGACTCATCAGCTCTTCAATCAAGGTGTCCTGCTTCGCAATTTGTTTCTTCAAGGCATCATTGACATTACCTGCCTTCAGAAGTTGGAGCTTCAACTGCTCGTTCTCTTGCTGCAGCTGCTGACACTGCTTGTCTAGCTTCACGATCTTCTTCTGGAACTCGTCGGCAGCACATTGGGACTTCCCGTGTTCTATAATGGCTTTCTGCAACCTTGCCTGCAAGTCCTTGTACTGTTCCGACGACTTCATCTGTTCAAACTCCAACAGATCGCTCAGCTTCTCATAGCTGGATGTTGCCTGAATGAACTGCCTGCTTATGAGCAGCTTTGCTTGCCGCTCGTTCTCCACTTCTTCTTCAAGGGTTCGCCGGATCTCTTCCGCGGAAGCACGGCTTAAAGCAAGATTCTTCTGCGCCAGCTCAAGCTCATCCACCAACCTTCCTCGCTTATTTGTGAGATTGGCAAGTCTGTTGGTGAAAGCCTTGAGCGCAGAGAGGCCACCCTCCATGGGGCCAAGCTGAAAGGAGCCCCGGTCATGACCTCGGTCATACTGAAGCTACTCCCCCGGCGTGGGGTCGCTGAGCTGCCTGCCTCCATCACCTCGTGCGGCTCCAGAGCGGCCTCGTAGCAGACTCGGAATGCGGCATCTGCAATCGCAATCGTCGCGCCAAGACTTGTGACAACGACACTACAAGTAGCAGTCACTAGTTGCACAAGCTGACCAGTGAGACCACAAAAAAAAGCATGTCTGACAAAGTCCGCTCCTTGAGCAAACATCACGGTCCGGATGCCGCTTTTCTTGGCGATATAAGCACAGGTCGCAGCCAACAGCCTGGGCTTCCATGACAATCAGCATCTCCACACCGCAACACACTTGCTCTCGTTACGCGCGATACTCGCGCGGGTGCTGCGCATCAGGCCGTGAGAAGCATGCAGAGCTGTCTGCTTACAAGCCACGATCTTTGGATGCCTGGCTAGAGCTGCAGAGCAAACTGAGCCGGCATGACAGTCGGCCGATTCTTTAAGGCGAGCTCTGTGCATTGCTGGGATGTGGCGCCTTGATGGAAAGCTTTGGAGCCAGCGAAGGCTGTCCTCGATGTGCCTTGGCACAAGCAGGAACACCGTCCAGGAAGACCTCGCTGAGGCCTTGGAACACTGTCCCATTATCAAGCAGGTCCAAGGGACTGGTTCCGTCTCTGAGCTGGCTGGGACGCACAGAAGCATTCAGGCATGCTTTGGCCAAGCACGGATTGAGAGCCATGGCTGTCAGATCTGTTAGCTCAGATTCTAGTTTCCTGCGCGCTAAGCCGAAATTCACTGCCACAAGGCAAGATGGCTTGACACACTGGAGAATGGCAAGCACTTTCGGTGCCTTGTACCGCGAGCCATCTCCGAGCCGCACAAAGGCCCCGTAGTCTTGCACCTGAACCCGAGCATGCCAGGTACAGCAATGTAGCAGGGCTGCTTTCTCCAGGGCCGGGCACTCGAGCCACGGTGCCCTTGTGAATGGAGTAAAGCTTCGGAATTTCTCGACCAGTCGTGCGCCTGGCACGCTTGAAGTTGGGGGGTTCGATCACCAAAATTCACATAGACATCACAGGTGGTGTATGGTGTGTGTGTCGTTGTGTACGTATGTATGTATGTATGTAGGTAGGTATGCACGCATGCATGCATGGGTGTCAAACACATACACACTTACCTATACCTACATAACGACCCACATACATTCATGCATGTATACACTCATATAGCCACGTACCTACCCACCTGCCTACCCGCCTACCCAGGCAGGCAGGTAAGTTAGGAACCTGCCGGAATGCATGCATGCCTACGGTGATATCCCCGACGTCCCCCGGTTTGGAGCCAATGCCAGGGCAGTTTCACCGCGTGTGGTCTGTTGGCAAGAGACGCAGAGCTATGCAAGCGATCTCCGAATAGTTGCTGTTTTCTGCAAAAATCTGTTTCCTGCAGCAGGCCAGGTTCCTACGCTCGGCGCACGCCCTGGCTGGCGTGCTGAATTGTTGTGTCAGTTTCTGCCCAACTTTATTGGGCGAGGTAATCAGGTAACATGCTACTTGTATGGCAGAACTACTCAAAACCCGGAACAACCATCACCCCGTCCTCCGGTCTTGACGGCCTGATCGATCTCCGCCCTTCGAGCCACCCTTCGGACCTGCAGACTTCTAAGTCTCTGGACTCTGGCAATCGAGCCGCCGCGCAGCCGGAGAAGGCCGGGCCTCTGTCGTCATCTCGACGGCGCCTCCACTTGCAAGCCCGCACCCCAAGAAGCACGAGTCGCTGCCAGAAAACGGTTGACATTGAAATTTGAACGGATGTGCATCACAGAAGCTCGTTGCGCCCATCCCCGGGAGAAGGGCTGCGGCCTTCAATTCGGAAGACAAAGAATGCTCTACACAAAGACGGCAGTGTTCGTACACTTAGCAACGTCTGCACCTCCTACACCGAAGGCATCTTCATCATCGCTGTACCTTCGTGGACATGTCGGCTGCTTGGACCAGACAGCTCTGTTGCGTGCGACGCTTGCAAAAGCCATCGCTAAGGTCCCGGCATGCGCTGCTAGTTTGTGTCGCCCAGAAGCTGACTCTGCAGGGCCGGAACAGGGCAAGCCGGTCTGATCCCCCGCTACAGTACAGTCTGTAATCTGGTCAACCTCCAGAGGACTTTGAAACTAGCGCTTTCCGACAGTGGGAAGCTGGTAGGCGCTCTGCTTGGTCCACTCGAAGCCGAACAACCGTAGAGGGCATGTCAAGCAAGAGGGTTGCGTGGGGGGCCTAATGCAAAAACTTCTGAAGGGAATGCAATGCCTTGCGTTCTACACCTTCCATGCTGATCGAGTCTAGAACTTGGAAGCATCAACGCCAACATTTGCTCGGTCGAGTGCACCAAGTTTTGTCATGGCTGTCACTGCAGCGGCAGAAGGCTACTGCGGGCACGTTGTGCTGCAGGCACACGGCCGTTTTCCCCATGTGTTTTCGGGTGTCCGATGCCTCAGCGCCGCCGGCGCCGCGCAGCACCAGGACCTGTCTTGCGGGGATTGGAAAGCTGTGAGCAAGCTCCAGCAACTCTGCAGCAGGTGCGGCCTGGTCTCGACTGCTGGAAGGCTTGAGCAAACATGCTCGGCCTCTGACACGTAGGTGCGACGCGGAAAGTCAAAAAGAATCTATGTTTTCTGAAGCGGACCCACTCTGGGCGCTTGCAGCAGCCCCAAAAGCAGCGCCCGCAGGTGCAGCTCCAGCTCCCTGTGCGGAGGCAGACGCATCGCTACACGTCCAAGGAAAGCCTTGGGACCCAAGCCTGTCCGAAGATGCTGCCGGCGGAACCGAAGGTGCTGCCGGCGGTTCCAAAGATGCTACCACTCGATGCGGCGCTCGTGGCAACAGTCGCTGCGCCGCTCGAGGCAGAAAGCGAGAAGATCCCACCACTGCTGCCACCGCCGCCCGTGAAGATGCTGCTGCTAGGTGCCGCCAGTGCAGATGAAGAAACACCAGCCGAGCCGGCGGAACTAGGCGACGATGAAGTGAAAATTCCACCTCTGGTCGACAAGAGTTTTCGGTTGGTCACAGCGGCTGTCGCAGCACTCAGGGGCAAGCCTCCGGACACGCCGGTAAGCGAGGAAACCTGTGTTACTTACGAAGTCGCACGTGAAGCCGTGCTACGTGCTCGTCGTAACATACGGGCTTCAACACGGGCTCATTGCGTTCTGCGCCTGAGCAGCAGGAGCTTTGGCGAAAGTGTCCCGACCTTAAAGCTCGCAGCTGCCATGTGTTGTGATGTAAGCCAGTGCCGACGGCTTGACCAGCATACGAAAAGACTGTTGAGTCATGATTTCGAAGCATGAGCTCAGGTTGGAGTTGCAGCATGCTTTGCATGCTGCCGCTCAGCATGGGTGCTAGGCTGCAGCACTGGGCTGCGTTCATTGACAAAGCTAAAGTTCCAGCTGCTCAAACCAAGTCCGCTGGCGTCATTTTCAGATCAGGCTGCCATCAAAGCAATGGCAAGCCTCAGGGCGGGTGCCGAAACGAAGCTCTCTGTATGTATCACCCTTTGCAGACATGTTGCTGCAGCTCAGAAACTTCTAGAGTGGGAGACGCCGGAGCGACTAGCTAGTGGAGTCGACGTCCGTCTGCTTTCCTTGGGAATGTCAGTAGCCCACCAGTTTCGTGCACCGAGGCTTTTGCAAGCTCAGTCGGAGACCGATGGTGGAGCGCCACCATCATACCTTATTGACAAGGATTCACACAGATTCTTGCTACTGTACACCTGCGCGCAGCCATCGTTGTCAGCCAAGCCACCGAGCCTGCGTTGGCGGCCAGTCCGGCATGAGCCTTGCGTGTGGCCCGACATGGCCCGATCTCCCCTTGTGCCTGGCATTTCCGGCACCGTGTTGGAGATCTCCACCATGCCTGCAAGGCTGGATCTTCATGATCCGCTGGTCAGCTGTGTGGAGGCGAACGTGCAAGCGCCCGAACTCATCCTGTGAAACAGGCAGTGAAGCAATGTGAGTGAGCAGCACAGCACAGAGCCACCCATTGCTCGACTTCTGTTTGCAACCTTCCTGCTGGTTGCTCAAGATCTCTGCACGAACCTGAGCCACCAATAGTGTTGCATTGCGACGACTAAGAGCTGCAGCCGATGCGCTGGAAACTCGTCAAAACTAAGCCACACGCCCCGTTCAGCTCCATGCGACGCCGCAGACCAGTGATGGTCACAGGCTCGCCGGGCACCGGGGTTCGATAGAAGCTGCTGGTATCACCAGTTGGGTAGACCTTTTATGGCCACGACTTCGACCGTAAAGACATGTTAACACACAGACTGCTCAGGTTGCGCCGGTTGTAACACATGGCTTAGGCTCCAGCCACACGCGGCTCCTGGTGATTGCAGAATCCAACTTTCGGCAGATTTGGAATAAGGCGCACCAGTCTACGTCAGGAAAACGTTGCGCAAAACCCCCTCCCGAACACACATGCTGCAGCTCAGGGGCCATGAAGTTCTTCACCCAGGACCTATTGAAGGTCAAAAGTAACGCCGAGAGTTGACTATGCCTCTTGTGTAGATATGGTCAGAGTGACAACTATGGCAGACCCTCCAAACTCCGCTCTTTACATAAGGCTTGTGCCGAAACTCTTTGTCACTAAGCCCGCGATCGATCTCTGCCTGCCTTCGCTGCACATGGTGGCAAGCATGTCGAGTGACTCCGTGAACAAACTCTCGCAAGCCAATGGTCGCCGAGAGTCTTGCAAGGCTCCAACCTTCGTGACATAAGTGTGCGCTGTGAGCTTCGCTTCAGCTCTAGGCATCATAGCAACTTCTATCTGCATCTTTCTGAGCCCAAACCGACAGAGACAAAGCAGATCGGTTCTACGATTGCTTGGGCAGAAAAAAAAGCACAGCTACTACGCATAGAATGGCATAGAAAGGCTTACAAATGCATGAAACAGGTTGACGGGGAGGTTGCCAATTCGTTGCTGGCGGCACAGCACCCAGTTAGAATCTCTAATAGGGAACAGAAGATACGAAAGCAAGAGACTCACCACCGGCACCACCACTGAGCTCGACGAAGAAAAGATGAGGGCATGCTTTAGGCCCGGACAAACTTCGGGGGCAGGTCGCACTCGGAAGATCCTTCAACAGTAGCTGTCGCATTCAACTAGCAGAAGCATTCTCTGCTTCGACCCCCACATGACATATGACGACGCATGACTACTGCAGCTGGTTTACAGATACAATTATCGACGGTACGCTAAGCCAGGTACACAAGCTCCTGACCTAAGTACAAACTGCAACTTCCAATGGTTTTTGGCTCAGCTCCAGGCTGCTTTTTGTAGACTTCCCATCCGTCTGGCAGCACTAGCTGCGATCGGATGCGGCGACGTTTGGCAGGCCTCTCATCAGCGGGCATGTTCTGATACAGGAATGCTTACAGGAATGCCTGCATGCCCTGCATAACCATCTGCCTCAGCTCACATGCTCCGTCAGGATTTGTCTTCAATCGTGGAGCCTGAGTGCACTCATTATTAATTAGTCACTACAGGCTTCTCCTCGCACCAGCGGCCGTGGGCGACTTGGATGCCGACGTTAAGGAAGACTTCCGTCTCCTCTTCCTGCGACTGTCTGGCGGCTTGGCGTCTGCGCTTCCTGGCAAAGCAGACGACACGCCAGATATCCAGAGCGACACGACCATCAAATCTGCAGGTCAAGATGGGTCAAGGACCTGCTCTTGAGCTCGTGGCCTGAGCATCGCAGGATCAGGGCAAGACTGGCGTGCAGCAGTGCGCCGCAATACTGGAGCAGCCCTCTGCACAGGCCTTGGGTTTGGCCTTCCGTTGCCTCCACGCCTCGACTCCTGCCGTCCAACTCAAACACAAAGGGGCTCCTCTGTTTGCACATGACGAGATCGTCAGCTGGTCCTGGTCATCTCTGACGCTTGCACTTCTCACATAGGAGCCACATGAAGGCGCGCCATCGGCGCAAACCGAATGATCAGGATATTGACGGATGGGCAGGCACCACCTGCATCTAAGTCATGATGCATTACTCTGCCCCACCTTGCACAAGCCTAAACCCTAAACCCTGACCTCTAAGCGGCGCGGCTGCAGGGCTGATTTCGGTCGCCACGCCCATACCTTTGAACTACAGGTTCTTCCGACATGAGTCTCATGTTGTCCTGCTGTGTCCTCTTCAATGTAGCTTTCATGCTGACCCTGAGGCGAGCTAGGTTCCACGAGCAACCACCAACCGCTTCATCCTGCTCCCTGATACTCCCGTATCCTGCCGTGGCAGGGGGCATGGTCAGGCACAGCCTGTTCCGAATGGGTGGATTTCTCTTTTGAATCTGGCGTTCAACTACAACACTGGTCTACAAAGCTGGCGGCATAGAGCGTTGAGCTTTGCGCAACCTCCAGCTTTCATTTGCGACTACTCTTCCGCTGCAGCGATCGGAGCATCTTCAAAAAGGTACGAAGAAAGCCATAAGGCTTCGAGAATGGCGCGCCTGGTGTCACCTGGCCTCCACGAAGCTGCGCAAGTTACCATGCAAACGAAGCCACGCTTCCAAACATCAAACCACATCCCAGCTTGGCGTCCTAACTGAACCAAGGACAATCGTTTAGCCCAGGGTGACAGGCGCCCAAAACTTAACGGGCGGCTGTCAACCGCTGCCTTCGCGACACGCTCAGAGCTCAGAGTCTCTTCACGAGCGCCTGAGTTGGCAGACCAGGAATATAATAATATAATATATAATATAATATAATATAATATAATATAATATAATATAATATATATATATTATATATATATATCTCTCTCTCTCTCTCTTAGATAACGTAATATGCACACATGTGCACACACTTGTA